GAATACGCGACGCTTCGTGAACACAGGTGTGCCTGGCGTCCGGCGCCCAGGAGCGGCGCGTCTTCCATCTCCCTCGTCGTTTGCTTTTATTTCCCTTTCTTACTTTCGTCCGCGGTTGAAAAGCGAGAGACATTATAGCGCCGGCAAGCCATGAAAATGTATATAGTACGTTTTACAAGGATTACAATAATGGCATAAGCGTGAGAAAAAAAATACAAACGTTTGAGAAACGAAGATTTGAGAAGAACGAGGAAGCTCGCACGAGTTAATTTATTATTACATCACGTTATTATGCAACGTAAATGTCTTCAAATATTTTCATTACGACGGGTAAATGGATAAATTGTAATAAATTGAAGGAATTATCATGAATAATCGAAGTGATCTCATTAATGAATTCTGAATGTGAACGATTACAATGTATACGATATGCATAATATATGATACGAAACAGATTTCCGCGATGTTGGGGGGGGGGTGGTATCGCGGAGAGAATTTTCTTGAGAGGGATGCAATCAATATCGCGTGCGCGATGAATGGAAACACGAGCTGTCCAGGAGAAATTGATAAATTAGCTACTTAACGGTTTAACAGTTGAACGATGATGATTTATCAGCAAAGGAAGTTCCTATTAACGGCAGAACGAAAATCTATGATTTCGCATTATTAGATTTGAAATCAATAAAATTATGATTTCAGATTTCTAATATATACTTACACTTATGAATATCAAAACGTGATTATTAATTATTCTTATTGCGAATGTTAATTATTACTATAAACAATTGTTATTACATGGAATTAGAAAATACGTGTTATTTCTTTCACTTTGATTGAAAGCATAATAAAAGGTAATAAAATTCTACAAAAGTATTGCGCAACATTTACAAAAACGATTAAATTTCCTCTCTCTAAATAGACATTGCATTAAGGTGAGCCAATTGGTTTGTTTGTTACAATAGTGTAAGCAGTGCGGTAAAGCTTTCAAACGATCAAGCACGCTCAGCACTCACTTGCTGATCCACTCCGACACGAGGCCTTATCCCTGTCAATATTGTGGCAAGAGGTTTCACCAGAAGTCCGACATGAAGAAGCATACCTACATCCACACCGGTGAGTTCTCAACAATTCATCACGAATCGATCTCTAACATGTCGACAAAACTAACGTAACTGATTCTTGATCTTTAGTCAAGAAAATAGTGTCAATTATATCTTCAAGCAAATAATACAAAATAAAATTGAGAAATTCTTATTATAAAA